AGTGAAAATTCAGGAATGTGAATGTATTAGATACTGAAAATAAATGCTAAAGTAACTCCTTAGAAGTGGTCAAAGACTAAATTTCTTTAAATATTTTATTTAAAAGAAAATAAGTCATCCAGGATATCTTCAATGTATGTTTCTATGTTACTTCAGTAGGAACTATAAAATATAAATCTCTTCTCTTATCTGTAAATGTAATCGTTGCTGAAAAAAGCTCTGATTTAGTGCTTTACTGAAATTTAATAATAAAATATGAATTATAATTTAAATAATAAATTTCATGCTTTTCATTGGAAATGCTTATCATAATTTTTCTTTACAGGTGTTAAGGCTATTGAAGAGCTTATGGAAATAGTTGATAAGCAATATTCCAACTCCTCTGCGTGATTTGGACAAACCATTCTTGCTACCTGTGGAGAGTGTCTACTCCATTGCTGTTTGTTCACTAGATTTTTTTAAAATCTTCGAATTATTATATATTGGTAAAAAATCTATATAGTATGGTTTAATTCTTAATTATCTTGAATGAAAGTCTGTATTGCTAATACCTGACAACTCTTTCCTTGTCAGCCTTTATCACTGGGAAGAATAACTTTATTGAATCATCCCTTCTTCATGCTGCTTGTTTCACCAAACCATTTGACATATTTATACATCAGTAACACTTCATCATTTTTGCTCTTTTGTGCATGTTCTTTTAGGTACTGCTTCAGTACTGTCAAAACTAAGGACCTACAGCTTTTTATATTTATGTACAGTGGAACCTCGGTTTTCGTTTGCTCTGGTTTTCGTTGATTTCGTTTTCGACGACGTTTTTCGTCAAAGTTTTGTCCCAGTTTTCGTTCATCACCTTGGTTTTTCATCTGTCCACTGTACTGAAGGTGTCCACTTGCCCCATCCCACACAAATCATCCCACACATTCTGCATCGGTCTGGCTTTCTCTCTCGTTGAGTGAGCATTACCCTACGCGTTCATCCGAAACATTTCGTAAAAATCCGTTGTTTTTTGTGCTTCTTTATTGAGTGCGACTACTAAATAAGCCACCATGGGGCCAAAGAAAGCTCTGAGTGCCAGTCCTTTTATAAAGAAGGCGAGAAATACGATAAAAATTCAAAAAAGAACTTGTAGCAAAGTATGAAAGTGGCATTGGAGAGTAGCAATGTACGAAAGTGACCGCAGCTGAGGAAATTGCTTCAGAGGAGGAGGAAGAGACAGGGGAGAATGTGCCTTCTTCAGTGATTAAGGACATGTGTGCAAAGTGGATTGAGTTGCCAAAGTTTCAGGAGAATATCCCCCAAACTAAGCTATTGCAAGCTGTGTCTGCAACATGTTCAATGACAATGCCTTGTCCCATTTTAGGCAAGTCTTAGAGATGCTAGAAACAGACCTCTCTGGACAGATTTTTTGTGTGGCAGGGGTCAGTGCCTGTAAAAGTCAAAGAAGGGAAATAACCCCAGATAGGGACTTGATACCTGAAGTCCTTATGGAGGGGGATTTCCCTTCCAAGCAATAACCTCTCCTCCTCCCTCTTCCCTCCTCGTATCTTCCATACGCCAACAAGAGTGTTCAGTAAAGGTAAAAGTGATATTAAATGTTCATTTGTCCATTTCATTAGTCCTTTATATTTATTTCTCATTGTTTTCTGTATGTAAAACTATACTTATTCTCTATAAAATGTATTTTTGTTAATACTTTTGGGTGTCTGGAATGGATTAATTGGATTTACATTATTTCTTGTGGGAAATATTGCTTCAGTTTTTGTCGAATTCGGTTTTCGTCAGACTTTCTGGAACAAATTTAAATTTGACAAAAAACCGGGGGCTCCACTGTATTTGAGATCTAGGTAGTAGGTTTGTAGACAGCAGCTGCCCAGGGAGGTACTACCGTCCTGCCAAGTGAGTGTAAAACGGAAGCCTGTAATTGTTTTACACGATGGTAGGATAGCTGGTGTCTTTTTTTTTTCTGTCTCGTACACATGCGAGATTTCAGGTACGTCTTGCTACTTCTACTTACACTTAGGTCACAGTACACATACATGTACAAACATATATATACACACCCCTCTGGGCTTTCTTCTATTTTCTTTATAGTTCTTGTTGTTCTTTATTTCCTCTTACCTCCATGGGGAAGTGGAACAGAATTCTTCCTCCGTAAGCCATGCGTGTTGTAAGAAGCGACTAAAATGCCAGGAGCAAGGGGCTAGTAACCCCTTCTCCTGTATATATTACTAAATGTAAAAAGAGAATCTTTCATTTTTCTTTTTGGGCCACCCTGCCTTGGTGGGATATGGCCAGTTTGTTGAAAAAAAAAATGGTAGGATGATGATTGTCTTTTTTTCTGTCTCATAAACGTGCAAGATTTCAGGTACGTCTTGCTACTTCTACTTACACTTAGGTCATACTTCACATACATGTACATGCAGATATATACACACCCCCTCTGGGTTTTCTTCTATCTTCTTACTAGTTCTTGTTTATTTCTGCTTATCTCCACTGGGAAGTGGAACAGAATTTTTCCTCCGTAAGCCATGCGTGTTGTAAGGGGCGACTAAAATGCCAGGGAACAAGGGGTTAGTAACCCCTTCTCCTGTATACATTACTAAATTTAAAAGGAGAAACTTAGTTTTTCCTTTTGGTCCACCCTGCCTCAGTAGGATACGGCCGGTTTGTTGGAAGAAGATATTTATGAGATGGTCCTAGTTTGTCCCTATTCTACATGGTGAGCAATTTGTGTAGGTGAGGCTCTTGAGTATTTTTGCAGAAATGTAAATGTGATACTCTAGCTTATGTATACATTGCCAATATAGAGTAAGAATTAGTATATTAGTCTGGCCGAAATGCCTAGGCATGCTAGTGGTCTTCTTTGTAACTAATGTTTTGTATGTAAACCATATATTGTAATCTTTACAGAGAAATAAGCATTTCAATTTAGCAGGCAGATTTTTATATGACTAGTTTTAAATGAAACAATCACCTGCTTAAGCTTTTTGCTGTATATTTCATATGTAGGTTTAGTTGGTCAGACAAGCCTGACTGCCTAAATAAGTAATTTTAAAAAATTCTCTGAATTTATATCTTTTTTAATTAACATTTTATACAGATTTCAAACTCTGCCCTTAAGCTAACTCAACTATAAAATGTAACCTTGTTAAAGTTAGCTTTATTATATTCAGGGGAGAAAGCAGTAAACCGATAGTGGTCATGCAACCCCCCGTGAAATGGGAGGCAATCGGGTTTGATAAAATGAGGCTAATATAATTTAGCTTAATCCTACCCACTTGTATCTTAAGTCACCCTAGCAGCACTGCATTACCCATACAGATTTATCCCCCTCTTTTTATTATTGTTATAATAAATTAGACCAGCCTAAATTTAAATAGCATTATTTAACAGGACTTTTTTTTTTTTAGAATAATTTTTGCATTTAAACAGTGGCCCTTTCAGGAAAGTGCTTTTGCCCCTGAAAAGTTCTTTATCATAAGAGCTGGATTTTTCTTCCCCTTGGATTGAAGCTGATTGCCTCCTATTCCTCAGATGCTATGTGACCCTCTGGGTTGAGTTGTTTCTCAATTTAAATGTCAGATACAGCTGAATTTACATTATGTGTAAAACAGATTGATGACTTTTTCTAACCCCCCTTGCTCCCATTAAAGTAATAATTTTTGTCTGTATTTTGGACTTTGCTTCGTTTGTGAACCCCATCATTAAAGGGGTTAAACATTTATCAAAGAATTCCACATCCTTAAAATTTAGTAGTCATCAGAATGAGCATTTATTACATTCTTTCTGTGAGAGTAAAGAAAATACAGAAAGGCATATGCTCTTCTTAGTAAGCATATGGATGTAAAAATGTGGGAGAAAGCACACACACACCCAAAAAAATGAATGGATGTAAGGCAGTCATTGCAGGAGTGAAGATAGAGAAAATGAAGCTAATAGCTTTGTAGTACTACATTACAGTGAGAGTGGAGCCAAGGATTAGAACTTGCTGATGGAAGGGTTGCTTGTTGTACTACTCTGTTGGTAGACCTTTATTTTTTTATGGGGGTGGACTGGTAACCTATATCTGCATGTGCATTACAGGCCGTGGTACTGTTGTTAGTGGTCGACTGGAGCGCGGCATGATAAAGAAGGGTCTAGAGTGTGAGTTTCTTGGTTATGGGAGGAAATTAAAGAGCACCATTACTGGTATTGAGATGTTTCATCAGACCCTGGAAGAGGCTCAGGCTGGAGATCAAATGGGAGCTCTTGTACGTGGTCTCAAGCGAGATGATGTGGTAAAAGGCATGGTAAGTCTCTTCTGCTTGTACCTTGAATTAAATGTATGTTAACTCCAGGTAAACCTGGAATTGGTGCAGATTTTGTCTAATTTCTATATACCACTACATATATTTATTTCTTCTCTTATTCATGATCACAAGTGGATTGCTATTAACATGTGGTTAGCTTTCATACAATAAAGGGCCAGCACTCTGAAAGGAAAAGGCGTGGATGTTGCAGCCATTTGAATTGTAGAATCCCCACACGTCTGGCAAAATAGTCGAGTCATTTTACCTTGGTGGGAAATGGCTGTATTAAAAAACAAAAAAAAAATTATAAATGAAGATTATATACATTTTGACGTGTATATACTGTCCATTTTTTAACCCTTTCAGGGTCGCCAGGCCCTCTCCGAGACTTGTTCTCAGGGTCGCCCAAATTTAAAAAAAAAAAAAAAAAAATTTTTTCTTATGAAAAGATAATCTTTTCCTGATCATAATGACACCAAAAGTATGAAATTTGATGGAAAAGTTACGGAATTATGCTCTCGCGAAGTTAGTGGACTCGGCGATGTTTACGCATCGTCGATTTTGCCCACTTTGAGCTCTATTTTCGGCCAATTCCAGTGTACTAGTCGACAAAAATCATAACTATTTCGCTAGAACTCCATTTTTTCTATCAAATAAGTACAAGAAACCACCCATTTACCGATTTCAACTATCCAAGAAAGTGCTCAGAATTTAGAAATTTTGCCAATTTCACACAAACTTCAAAAGATGCCAATTTCCGAATAGGGTCCAGAATAAACAAGAAAGACATTTCTGGCACTAAAATAACAAGTTCTCTGTTCGTTAGTCACATCTCCAGGCCCCTCTTATATTTCTTTGGCTTTCCACTTTGAATTTTTATTCTTACAAAAAATAGAAGATTTACTGTTATGCAGACTACTGCATTAGTGTAGAAATGGTATAAATAATATCAGCGCACTTGTGAAAGAATATTAGACTCACCAGTTGACGTGTATTAGACGCTTGGCATGATTTGTTTACTTTTGAACTTTGGTAAAAATTGAACATTTCTGCTACTTTGAGCTCAATTTCAAAGTACTTTTCATTGTAAAACCAGTCAAAATCATCTCAATTTCTGTAATATGTCTTCCATTCTATAAAATGAGATCAGGAAAACTAGAATACAGCCATAAATACCATACGAAAATGCAGTGCAAAGTCACTGTTTTAATCCAAAAACAGTCAGTTTTTTTTTTTCTCATTACGCACTGTGTGCTGCAGGATTTTTTTTTATACTGCGCACACTGACCACATAGACCCATTCTTTCATATGTAGGCCTACCAGCTTTCTCTCACTAAATTTGAGGGCGCTAGAATTTAGGCGTACTAGTACGTCAAAAACCCTGGGGCGTAAGCCGTACTAGTATGGCCGAAACCCTGAAAGGGTTAAAAGCAAACTTGAGTTGCTTTACTGTATATTTCAGGTTGAGATACTTTTCTTTGAAACTTTTAAATATATTGTAAAATCATTAGACATTTGTTTGATGGCAGTGAGAAATGTAAAATGTGCTTATTTCATTTATTGATTGACAAATTCTTAATTACTGTAGCAGTACCCTGCAATTCCTTTTAATTTGAGTTAAGGCAGCGATGGAATGCTAAGAAACATTTGTGTAACAGATAGACAAGCACTTAATTTTAAATTATGATCCATAATGCATTTACTGCTTGCTAGTTCAACAGTATATCACTATATTTTTTTTTTTATTATTAACACATCAGCTGATTCCCACCAAGGCAGGGTGGCCCAAAAAAGGAAAACTTTCATCATCATTCACTCCATCATTGTCTTGCCAGAGGGGTGCTTCACACTACAGTTATAAAACTGCAACATTAACACCTCTCCTTCAGAGTGCAGACACTGTACTTCCCATCTCCAGGACTCGAGTCCGGCCTGCCGGTTTCCCTGAATCCCTTCATAAATGTTACTTTGCTCACACTCCAACAGCACATCGAGTATTAAAAGCCATTTGTTTCCATTCACTCCTATCAAATACGTTCACTTGCTGGAAGTTCAAGCCCCTCGCACACAAAACCTCCTTTACCCCCTCCCTCCAACCCTTCCTAGGCTTACCCCCTACCCTGCCTTCCCTCGACTACAGGTTTATACACTCTCGAGCTGACAATATGAATGTTTTCCACTATTATACTTACCTGAATTTGAGAAAGATATAGGAGTATCTCCCAGAGGATCTCCTTCCAATAATCATAATTTAAAAATTCACTTTTTTTTTTCTCGCCCCCCAAGTTTTACCACGTAAATAGAAGTGCACCACACTTACACTAAATGTCCATGTACCAAAGTGAATGTATGTGAATCAGTAACAAAAATGTGGGAGGCAGATCATATATACACAGTTATGCAATGTGGTGAGGTTTGGCTGACAGTTTGTCCTCTCCAATGAATGACATTATTGGCTCCTGATGCATAGATCATAAATGAAAGTACAAAATTCAGATTATTATTAGAATAAAAAAAAAGTGCTAAACCTACAGAGGTCATACAGTGCAGCAGCATTTCAGTTGTATGGTAATATGTTGAAAAATGAAATCTGTGGTCTCTCATTTTTGTTGGGAGAGTAATTACTAGCTTGGACTTCCAGCAGGCATGCGTGAGCGTGTTTGATAGGAGTGAATGGAGACAAATGGTTTTTAATACTTGACGTGCTGTTGGAGTGTGAGCAAAGTAACATTTATGAAGGGATTCAGGGAAACCGGCAGGCCGGACTTGAGTCCTGGAGATGGGAAGTACAGTGCCTGCACTCTGAAGGAGGGGTGTTAATGTTGCAGTTTAAAAACTGTAGTGTAAAGCACCCTTCTGGCAAGACAGTGATGGAGTGAATGATGGTGAAAGTTTTTCTTTTTCGGGCCACCCTGCCTTGGTGGGAATCGGCCGGTGTGATAATAAAAAAAAAAAAAAAAAAAAAATTACCAGTGTTGGCCAGACCTGCAACCTTTACTGTGACAGTGGTATGCACACTCCCTCACACACTAACACTTCATACACCACACATTTTAGTTATTTGTCATTACATATGAATGAGAGGACAATGTAAGGGAGCACTGATTGGGCACAACCAATACTTCTAGCAAGGTAGGCATTCCTCTACTTCTACTGACCTCCCTCACCACCAACTACCATCTTTATTGTCACTGATGCAACCATTGACTCCCTTCCCTGTGGAGAGGTATCTTGAAAAAAGTGGGAAATATGATGGGAGGGGGGCCCATATTTGGGTTAGTGCATGGTTTTCAGTTTCTTAAAAGCTGAGCTGACATTAAATACAGATTATTATTGTCCTAAATTTTTTTTATACATCAATTTTACAGGCTGTGAGCTGTTATCCTACCTCAGCTTATTTCAAAGCCCATCTTTATCTAAGGTATATTACCACCCCCTGGGATGCAACCCACAACAGTCGACTAATACCCAGGTGCCTATTTACTACTGGGTGAACAGGGACAGCAGGTGTAAGGACACATGCACTTCCATCCAAGCCATGGAACACCTTGTATCTCTAATTGAAAATTTGATTCATGTACAGTAATATAAAATTCACTATTTTTCTTATCCCTGTTCTGATTGTTAATTGGGGTTGGCTGTGAATTTTTAAGTGGATGCTTTGTTGTTCTCATTACTATATGTCATCTAAAATTTCCTCTCCCAAGTGTGGTTAGTTGTGAATTGTTCCAGCTACAGTATTGACTTATTCTTCATAAACATGCAATGTTTATTGATTTCTGCAATCTGATTTGGTGCAGGTAAAGCATTCACTACTTGAACACAGTACTAAGAATGTAAGTTGTTGTTATAATCATAGTGCTAATCCTGTAAGGGTCATAAGTGTATGTAAGTGATAGGTGGAAGGGAAAAATAAGATGGAGAAAAAGAGGGAAGGGGGAAGCTGTATTAGTCAAGTGGAATACTATACAGATATGCAACTACACCAACTATTTCTACTATAACTAAACCAACCAGGCTGAATGAGACAAGTGCAACCATAATTGACCATATATGGACCAATATACTAGCCATCCCCCCTTAAATCAGGGATAATCACAGACAGCACCACTGACCACTACCCCACCTTCCTCTTAACAAACATTAATGAACAACCACTGGAATACAGCAAAGTTTTTTTTAGACTCCATGACAAGGCCTCAATAAGTAACTTCACAGCAGAGTTAGGAATGGTTGACTGGCCTACAAAATTCTCCATTATCAATGGTACCGATGATTGGTTAGACATACAGTGGAAACTCTACTTACGAGATCGTCCACGTGTGAGTTTTTCCAGATGTGAGCAGTCGCTCGGTCGATTTTTTTTGCTTACAGACTCAAGTGAAATTTCCAGATGCGAGCGGGCCTCAAGGGAGGTTCCTTGATGCTGGTGAGGGGCTTTGCTCTTGATCTAGGGAAGTAGATCTCAGTTGTTTGTTGGACTATCTTATTGAAACTTGGGCAATGTACGATGGAAAGATGCATCTTAACGTACACCAAAAATGAAAAAATCGGACCATAAATAATAGAGTTCACTTCTCAGCCATTAGCCTCCCTTTAGTGGTATATTTTCATATGGTTTTTATGGTTGTATTCTGGGTTTTTTTAGTCTCATTTGATAGAATGGAAGATATACTACAGAAATAGATATGATTTAATTGGTTTCATGACAAAAAGTACCTTGAAATTGAGCTCAAAGTAGCAGAAATGTTCGATTCTGTGGCGATGTTCAAGAGTAAACAAATGACATCACCGTCCGATACCTGTCCAATTGGCACTGCCCCTCAACCTTCACATATTGGAAAGCTCTTCAACACACTAGCAAAAGTGGGAGCAGACATCATGAGGCAGCAGTGGCTGACAACATGAAGCAGCAGTGGCAGACAACATGACGCAGCAGTGGCAGACAGCATGAATCAGCAATGGCAGACAATATGAAACAGCAGTGGCAGACCTTGTT